ACATACATATACTATTCTGTTGAGTGTGTAAGTGCATAAGTGCATAGTGCATGAGTGCATAGTGTATAGTGTGCCATTTGGGACGCAGCTTTTCTTGCTGGAGTTTATAGCAGTTTCGCTTTACTTCAGGACGCATTAATGCCGCTCTGAAGGTCTAATCGCTGTTTTAAGTTATCCAGAGCTGGATGAATGTACAAATCTTGAATATCACAATAGTATTAAATATTACAATTGTACCACAGACAGCAACACTTCTGCACAATCGATACCCAGCTGATTCAGTCATTTCATAAGAGAACCGCGCCTCTTCTTTTTTCCTTGTCAACATAAAGGCAGTGAGATGCGCCTTGTTTTTGGCCCCTTGTTCAACTGCAAGGCATACTTATTTTGCGGGACGATAACGTATAACCCGTGCCTACAGACACATTTGCCAAAGAAGCAAAATGGAAGAAGAATATTGCTGTTTGAAACAGACATGTTGATGCCAAACCAGTGCTGATGTTGACCTGGATCTGCGTAATAAACGCAACAAATAGGCTTTACCTTTTATTTTACAGCTTATAAAGCATGTATGCACATTAATGCAATATCATATTTAAACAACAAAACTGTTTACAAAAAGTCAACAAAGTCAACGCGCGTGTTGTTGTTGTCTTTTCATCATGCAGCGCGCGCTTGAACCGCGAGGGAGAGGAAACCATACATCAGGACATACTCTTTAAAATAATGATTTCTATTAAAAATGTAAAAGGTTTTGTGATTATAATAATAACGGCGGGGCATTAAATAAATGCATATTTTCCATAGAGCAAGCAATTTAAGGAGGTCAGCTGTTTTTATTTTTGACGGAAGAAAAAAATCATATGATTGGAAAAAACAGCCTATGCCAGTTGTTAAAAAGAATCAGTCAGTATTTTCATTTTGTAATATAAATTAATTATTTAAGTGAAAATAATTTAGGGCAGTCCTATTTATTTTATTCATTTTATTTAGATTATTCTGCTCTTCTGTGCTAAACACTGCAGGTGCGTGAAGATGCTCTGTTGTTCTGTTCCGCTATTAATATGCAGGCATTTAAAAATAAATCAGTATTTTAAAATGCAATATTTAATGTGTCAGACACAAAATGGACACGTCAATTTGTTTAATATAAAATTAATAGTAATCTGACCAGTTAACCGTTAATAACCGATTAATGAGCAGCGTTTGTCGGTTAGCAAAATTAATGAAATGAGCATCCCTAGTAGCCATTTAATTTACTTTTTCTATGTAAGAGAACTTGATTGAAAAAGAATTTTCAACATGCTTGAACCATCTACACAATGGAGTTTAGTTCTGTTTGGTATTTCAACAGTATTTTGTTACAAAGAAAATAGAAGTGATTAAGCTTTGGCTATTTATTTATTTTATATATGGCTATTTATATTGTTAATTTGCATAGTTAAAATTGTTCTTTGTTTAGTTTATAAAGATTTTTCAAATGTTATTTAATTAAAAAAAGTTTTAAAAATCTTTTTTTCCCACCCTCCAGGAAAAAAAAAAAATCGTGATACGAACCGAATCGTGGGTCAAAGATCGTGATACGAACCGAATCGTGGGTTTGGTGTATCGTTACAGCCTTAATATATATAAAATTTGCATGTTTTAAAAGGCATTTTATGAGCATTCACACAGAAAAAAAATGCACAATGTTTGTAACTTTAATAAGGAATTATTCCACTAAATTATTAATTTAAAGTAGACTATAGTGTTATTTTATTATTTTACATTTAATTATTCAATTTCTGTACCTGAATAGTATTGGACTTTCTGGAAAACCTTAAAGCATTGTTTATTTGACCTTTTCTTTGCTCTATTGAAATCATTTTTGCTTGGATTTTGTTTTTTTAATAGAGGATTCAAACCCTTACAAAATCACCAATCAATCTAAATGAAGGATTTCGCAATTATCTATCTATCTATCTATCTATCTATCTATCTATCTATCTATATTAAATAAATATGGCAACGTAAGATTTTTCCAATATCGTGCAGCCCTAATTTGTACCTAATATGTATTTGAAACATTTCAAGGAGTACATTTTTGTACTTTTTAGGTCCTGATATGTACCTTTAAGGTATAAGAACCCTTTAGATACAAATGTATACCATTGGAAAAGGCACGGCCCAAGTGACAGCTCTTGTACCTTTATTTCTGAGAATCCAAAAAATAATCCTAGTAAACACACAATTGCATATTTTTCTTATTGTTATAAATTTAATTTACACAATCTATGATTCATTAAGCCTCAGTTATAAATGCAGTGTATGGGTGTTTTTATTTAATACTGAATATTTAAAAGCAGAAATGTGACCCTTGTTTCATGCCTCCTTTTAACATCTTTTAAGGCCTTTACAAAGCAAATCCACCAATGCTTCTCTCAAATGCCACCAAAGGCCTAAAATGCAGATTTAATGCATTAGACTTTCAACAAAAACCTTGTGTATCTGTGACATATTAGGTTCAAACTATTGATATGTTGTGGCTCGGGGACAAAACCCATCCTCCAACATCCTATCCTTTCAGCATTCCTTAAAATAGCACTGAAATTCCAGCATTTGTCATGAGAAATGGAGTTAAAACAGCCTGATGGTTGATTTCGCAGACATTCACACAGCATGAGAAGCCTATATGCGAGTTTAGAAATGAAGGTGATGTGGAGCTGTACAGAATGACCTTAACCAAGTCAAGACAGATGGAGCAGAAATCATTCAAAGAAACAAAGGGGAGTAATGCTGATAGAATCACAAGCGTAGACGCAACTCAGCGTCATTCCTTCACCTTCACTCTCGACGCAACACATGCAATGATATGGTTAAGGTTACCTTGAAAATTAAATAGAAGCCTGTCTGATTCATTAGAGGACTTATGAGAATTTATAATATGATGAAGACTCCACTTTAAGGGTAGTAAATTTAAAAGCAAATAGTTTTATTTACTTGTTTTATTTACTTGTAACTTTGTGCTAACGTCATTGAAACTTGAGAGGGGGAAATAAAAACACAGCTAGGGGTGTGCGATACTGACACCTATATTTTGAGACCTTTTTTCAGTAGTGATAATTTGATGATTAGATGCTACTTTGGCTGGTTTAGATCTCATATAAATCCATAAAGTCATTGACTGAATGGTTTATTCAAATGATTCGATTAAAAAGGCAGATTACTTTAGGATGACGCAAGTTACTGTCTTTGTGAAGGGTTAATTGAATCATTCACTTGCTTAAAGTCTGCGAAAAATTAAAATTTTGTCATGCTCTTGAGTTGTGAAGACACATTTTTAGTCTTAAGTGAACAAATAATTCACTGAAAAAACATTTGTGTTCTTTGTGGTAATATTTCAAAACAAAATCTGACCGTTTGCTTTCACTCTCCAATGGCAGTCTTAGTGACATCAGTTTGGTGGCAATATATGCTCAGCCACACACCTCAAACTGTTAGTTTGTCAGTGGAAAATGAGAGAAGGAGCTCAAAAATAAAACCCCACCCCCAACTAAATATTCAGTTTCTGTTAAAAATGCGTCATCATACTAAGATAACAATCCGCGGCAACTTCTGGCTCACATAGACTTTAAATAATATATAAACAGATTGATCCAAGAATGAAACACTGGTGATTTATGTTACATAATCTACAGCCAAAATTACATTATTGGGGGCTTCTACCAAAATTCACGTTTAATAAGCATATTAGTAATTTAAATATGATAATAAATTGTTGTTGATTTGATTTACCAATTTATTTGTTTTTATGCTTGAAAACCCCCTTTCGTCTTTGACCCATACATCCATAAACTTTACGGTTTTAGGCCCTGTCCACATGAACATGGGTATTTTTAAAACCACACCTTTTCTATGGGGTTTAGCAGTTTGTTCACAAAAAAAAAAATCCAGGTTTTTTTTTTTAAAACTCCAGGTACAATGTGGTTGTGTGGACGCTAAAGCTTTTAAAGGTTTTAGCCTCATGACGTCAGCGTGCACAGCATTTTCTCTTCTTTGATTGGCCAGCAAGGCTGGGTTTACTCCAAACACGGAGTACATGAATAAGGCAAATTCTGCAAATTCGCACAACCTCGCATATTCCGTATTGTTTAACTGTGGGATGGTAATCCACCTCTGTGACCTGTTTGCATTGACTAGAATGCAATTTACTCACAAAATAAACTTAATTCCTCATTTGACATAAACTCAGTTTAAAAGTGTCATTATCATCACTTGTTGGTTCAGCATGCCCATAACATGCATTACAGTGTTTTTGCATTTTCATGGTGGACAAAGATTATTATTTTTTTCTATAAAAAGTGTTTATAAAAATACCTGTGTGGACATGACCTTAGTGTACTCATAGGAAGTTACATACAAAACTATTGACATTATTCTTATCATAAGAGCAAGCCATTGGAATTTTTTTTGGCTCGAGACTACCAGTTTCATTCACTTCCATCAATTTCTAAAAGTTAAAACGGTTCACTTTGCTGCTTCATGTTGCAAATTTACTATTATTATTTTATTCTACTTTTTATGTATAGTCATGAACACTTGTTTGAAGAGCAATTAGTTTGACCGTTTTCTGCCGTTTCCTAGTTATTTCTCCTATAGGCAACTGAATCTGAAGTACTAAAACAAAAATCACAAAAACGAACGCACTTCTGCATTGCAGAATACCACATCTTAGAATAACTAAAAACATGTTGTGCTATTATATCCTACTTTGTATTGATAGGTCATTCTAACTGCATTCTAGTAGGCTTTAATAAACATTAAAGGATTTTGGAGTCAAGATTTTCAGCTTGCATATCATTAAAACACTTAACATTTTATCATAACCAAAAACAATTCAAATAAATCACACACCCCTAACTATTAACTATTTATTACTATTAATTTCTGCTTTTGTCCACACATTTAAGACGACATTGACCTAAAAGCATGAATGCGGGCAGCTTTTTGCGTTGGCGTACCTGGGAATGGTGACACACTTGGTGTTGCGGTTTTGTGTGGTGATGGCCTTCTCCAGCTCGTCCAGTTGGCCAGTTTTCTTCAACTTCTTTACCAGGCTTTTGACTGCCTTCTCGCACCACTTCTCCTCCTGGCCGTTTTGCTCTCCACCACCTCCTGCTCCGCTTGAACCACTAGCAGACTTCTTCCAACCCAGCAGACGTTTCACCACGGGCGGAGTGAAAGGCAAGATGGAGGACATGTTTTTTTTTTTCTTGGGGTGTCCGATGAGCGGTCAGTCTGGGCAGGTGGAGTTAGAGAGACAGATGGAGGCTAGGAGAATGGGGAGGAACAGACCCAAAGTTCCTAACTGGGTCTCTGGGCTGATTATGAGGGGGCAGGGGGCATAGATGTTTAGGAAACAGGAGAGGAAAGGGGGGTGAGGGGTTACCTGAGTGGAGAAAAGCAGAAATTAGGATGAGTTGATGGCAGACACAAAACTCCTTTTGTTGGCCATAATAAAAGAAAATAATAAATAAATAAATCCATTTTGGTTGAGTTTACTCATTTTAGGGGCTTGTTTTCAAGACAGTAAAAAAATTAGTACTTATTCATGCTTGTCTGAACATTCAACAGAACTTAAAAAGGTGGTTCAGAGTGTATTTTTAAGGCTTATTTATAAGACGCAAATGCAACATGTGCTTATGCTTCATTTGTGAAAAATCAAGCTATTTTTCCATGCATCTTTAACTTTATACAGCAACTCAGCTAACATGAAAACGACTGTAATATTTCCTAGTTCCTTAAAAAGCCCCACCCTCAAGAGACTCTGATTGGTCAGCTAACATATTGTGCTGTGAATCTTGGATTGGCTCCATGTCATCAGAAAAGTCTCTGCTATAACATTATAGCGCATCTGGCCATGCCCATTCGCTGCATGAGGTGTATGCTCGTAACCTGAAGGATTTATGACCCCTAATTTGGATGTATTTTTTAGTAGTCTCCAAATTTCATTCGCTGTATGCTCTGCTAAGCTAACTCTGTAAAAGCCAATGGCTGTTTCCCAAAATGCGTTCTTCAGCGGTCTTGCGTCCTCGTGTTTTCATGTAACGTCATCATCAGCTGCCTAAGGTCAGGTCCAATACTCAAGACCGCAAGTACGGAGGACGCGTGAAACTTCCCGGATGTGATCTTGATAGAGGACGCACCGATGCAGACTTGAGCACCGAACTCGCTCTAAGACATTGCGACTGTGGGAAGCACTTTATTTAGATTTATTATTAAAGTACAAAGATACAAGTTATTTACCTCAGGAGTTTCCCTAAATGAAACGGTGAGAGTAGACATTACCATGAAGATCTTAATAAAGGAATAAACATATTAAGGGTGTTTGTTTGCTAAAATTCGTAGTAAAAGCTGTTTTATTTAAATCGTGCAGAGTATATTTATAACGTTTTTATGCAAGAAATGTATTTTGAAAAGGGAAAAACAATAAATCGTTGTATAAATGCTGTAATGTCTAAATAATTTACCATTTAAAATGTGTAAAGGTCATGTGACCATAAGGTAGAACGCAGCATCTCATTTCTCAAAGGACGCGTTCTCTGCCCTCGCGGTCTCCTGAGTTTGTTCTTTCAAGGACACCTGGCAAGACCGGTCTCCACAAGAACGAAAGTCCGTTCTCTTCGTTCTTGGAATTGAGAAACAGCCAACGTCTCCCTTTCCATTGTCTTACATTCAGAGATGTTATTTATGTTCACGCAGCTACGTTACACATCAACTTAAGTTTCAAATATGAGATCGTAGTGTAGAGCTGCACGATTAATCGAAAAAATGTCGCAATCTCAATTCGACCCCCTAAACGATCTTAATCCAGCACTTTTACGATTCTGCCAATCATATTTTCAATGTCAGGAGAGAAGCTAAAGCGGTCGCAGAAGTTTTCACGTAGTTTTACATACATTGCTCAGCAACATGGACATCTCTAAAAGTGTCACATACTGTATTTATAAGGTATAATTCAACCAAAAATGTTATTTCTGTCTTTATGTAATGATGTATTTGCGGCTGCGAAATCACACGTAACGCAAGCTGCGGTGAGCGGTTACCACAGAGAGTACGGCACGCGCCTGTGAATGATGCCTACTTTAGTGAACAGAACTTGCATAGGATGTAAATAAAAGGTAATAAAGTTGTAAATAACATTCGGTTTATTGCACAGAATGATCATTTAGGAGCCGCACGAGAAGTATGAACCGCACTTAGCAGTCAAAATGAAAGAGCACGCACATCATTTAAATAATATAATCGCATTTTAGAGTTATTACGACAAGCATTTAATATGTTTTTCTTTCTTAGCAATCACAAAGTGTTGTGCATGAAATTAATTTTTAACAGTGTTAGTATAACTATTCTAGCCAATGTAATGTTGAATATTATGCATGAGGGAATCTGATAATGACAAATGTCTGATTTTACCAGTAGAATAAAATGGTCTAATAATGTTGTCAGTGACAGATTGCAAGTATACATCTCATATTTCATCTCAAACATAATAATTCTAATTAAGTCTATTCAAAATTGAGCATTTTAACCACCAGTAGAACTGCATTTAATATTATTATTATTGTGGTTTTACCATATGTTACAGAAATAAAAATAAGAACAGCCCACTCATTAACCTTTATTTTACATCTACAGAATAGTGAGAAAATAGGGATCTTTATTTTAAGCAAAAGAATCACGATTCTCATTTTAGCCAGAAATGTGCTGCTCTATCGTAGTGGACCACCCCTTTGAGAGGTTAAAATAAGCAGTTCTTTTACAACTATGAATTTGAATTAGAAGTTGAGCAAATATATTGCATTTCGTTCCTAATGATAATTACAACACTGCCTTTATAATATGCTAATTCATCACATTTGTAATGTGGAGAGAGGTGCACCACAACAAAAAGCGCAACAACTTCACTTGAATTTACCTCTAAAATGTACTGTAATTATAATATTTTACGCCATTATTATTTTGGCAATATTTCCAAAAATCTGCTTATTAAGTGTGAAGTCACACAAAGCATCTTCCAGGTCCTATCGCTCTTTCAAACTGTATAGAGAGGCTTAACAAATGGTAATAACAAACGTTTACAAAGCACTGTAAAACTTTTCAAAATCACGACTGCAATATATACATCCATGCCTAATAAGATCCAATGGCCAAAAAGTGATAATTTTTTTATAAATTGCTAAAATATTGGTGTCTGTGATGCAGCAAATGCAGAGAGACTGCTGTGTACACCATGATTTCGTATAAAATCCACTTTAATGTGTGTAAGTGATAAAGTTATTTTCTTAATTCAAATGAGTAGCAGTTTAGAATCAGAACCAGTATCCCATACATCACCACTTAACAAGCGGATATCATATTGCATCAAGATTACAGTTGGCAAAAACAAAATTCATAAAAAATTGGTAAAGCTATGGTTTAAAATTGTACTTAACGGCTTATTTTTGCCAATTCCATTATATTCATTCATTCATTGTTTTATTGGTTTAGAGCCTTTATTAATCTGGGGTTGCCACAAGGGAATGAACCGCCAACGTATCCAGCCTGTTTCATGCAGCAGATGCCTTTCCAGCCACAACCCAACACCAGGAAACATCCATACACTTTAACATTCACACTCATACACTACAGCTAATTTTGTTCATCCAATTTACCTATGGCGCAAGTCTTTGGACTGTGGGGGAAACCGGAGCAGCTGGAAACTCACTGCAATAATGGTCACCCTAATTCTATTATATATTTTGCTATATTTTTTGCTTGCTTTGTGTTTTCCCTCTTTGCAAGCTTTTATTTGAAACAAATGTATCGGTCTCTTTGATCATAATAATGCCTCATTGAAGAACAAGTATAACAGATTTTCTTTTTCAAAAAACTTTTTTTACAGGTTAGGTAACTAATGTTAATTGTTGACCAATTGTGCATTAAAAAAAGATCATTATGTTTCCAATGTGGTATTAGTAAAGCAGAAATTAGTCCAATAAATTTTGGAAGTGACTGAACTCATTGTCAAATTTAAAGAATGCAAGCTTGTCCTATTTAAAGTGTTTTTCTCCACATAATAAGTCTACGCAGAAAAAAAGATGAATATTGCCAGCCCGTAAACATGAGGAAGTGGAAGTAAAACATCCTGATGACGACTTTGGTCAGGCTTACAAAATACCCTTACTCTGGGTGCTATTTATTATAATAGAAATGACAAGCAATAAATAAAAAATATATATAATAATAATAATAATAAAATATAGTGTTCTGCTTGCCAGGCCAGTAGATGACAACACTGAAACTTCGAAAGTGGTTTACGCCACTACACACATGGTCCTGTAGTTGTTGTTGTTATGGTCTTTAAATATTCACATGCAGTTTTCGCAAAATTGTATTTTTTGTAGTTTATATCTATATAACAATATTGTTTTAAAAGCATGTACTTTCAAATCCATTTGCAAAGATCTGTATTTTATGGCTCCCAATACATTGCAAATACGAATGGCAAAATTGCATGAAGTGTAAAGGCCACACACTTTTCTTTGCTAGTCAAAAATTCACTTCAATTCGAAAGAAAAATTACTTTTGGGAAATGCTCACCCTTTTTAGTCAAAGATGCTTTAAGTTTCAAATGAAATATTGCAAGATTTCCCATATTTGGTGTAGAAATTAGGGCTTCCTAATATTGGAAAAATTTCACATTGAAATATTTTTTTATTCTGCGATTTACATTTCAATATGAATACAATTTCACTAGAGCTGAATAAATGTTTGTAAAGAATTTATAATTTTAGATTGATTGGGATGTATCTGTAGTGCAGTACACATGAATAAAATACAATAAACAATCTACACGCATAGACTAATTTAATAAAGAAAAGCATACTAATTAAATAAACAAAATTGTATTGTTTTTCCGAAGAGTAGAAATGCATTCAGGTATAAAGTAATTGAATAATCAAATGTAAAATAATACTGC